AAGTTCCTCAGGTTCCCCCAGCCCTGCTGCCACAGTCCTGATACTAAGTTGAGGCAGTGAGCTTGGTCAGCAGAAAGAGAAAAGCAAGCCCTGCCACACTTTCAGAAAAGCTATGCTGATTTCATATTAGCTGATTCTTTAGGAATGTCACATACTCCACTTATAGAGTGCTTGGAAAAGAGGGGTTATTCTTAGTATTTCATTTATATTCCTATAAACTGCACAAGAACCCAATGAAGTAGGTGCCATTGCCATCTCTGTGTCACAGGTAAGGAAGGAAGCCAAAGCACAGAAAGGCTTAGCAGCTTTTCCAAGGTCACAGAAGGCAGCAACTGGCAGAGGCAGGGCTTTAGCCCAGGCCATTTAGCCCCAGTTCCCACATCTGAACCACTACACCCTATTACCCTGAAATCCTCCTCTCTGGAATCCTATTTAAAGCCCAGAAGCATAAATCAAGTAGGAAAGTACAACAAATAAAATTTGAGTGTAAATAATTCTCTATGAGAATTCCTAAAATATTTATTTGATTACAGATTGATACAAATCTCATAATAAACAGATTAGGATAAAGGCACAACAAATTAAAATAAAATTATAAATTACGAAAAGTCTGGGCTCTCAAAAAGGAGGTGGTTGTGTGCTGGTTTTCTCTAGGTTTCAGAGTAGTCAAGGAAACCAATTAATAAGTCAATCAAATAACTTTAAATGGCTTTTAGATCAAAACAAGGAAGGAAAAATATAACATCAGACATTCATAAATTTCCACATGTAGGAAAGGGAAGACATGATTTGAAAGCAGTTAATGTGTTAAAGACCAGAGAGCCTTGGTTGTCCATAGCTTAACATGCATTATTTGAGGTTGGTGGAGAAATTTTAAAAGCTAAAAGGATGTCAGGCCACACAAGCACAGAATCCTTGCAGAGGATTAAGGGAGGTACTTGCACCACTGGCTGCCCACAACTGACCATGGCTGAGCAGACGCATAGGAGCACAGCAGAAAGCCCAAGGTGTACATTAGGGGCGGGGGTTCTGGGTCACTCTCTTATAAGAAACAGATGAAGGAAGGAGGTATGCTTATGTTTGGGAGGAACAAAGATTTCAGAAATGTTCTTCAAATATTTTCAAAGGAGACAAACTAGAATGTGTTTACTTCAAAAGTAAGACTACAAATAAATGTCCAAGGTACACCCAAATTTAACACACATATAAATTCTTTAAAAATAAGAAATAGCTAACAATGTTAAAGGCTACATGCAAATTAGAAAGCTTGTTTACTGGAAATACTCCATTATACTGTAGACAAAAACAATTCACTCAAAAGTTACAAATGCCCACCAGTACCAGGCACTACTGGAATTACTGGGGGTTAAAATTTATCTACATAATTTATCTATAACAAAAAGCTCATATTCTTATTCTTTTATTATTTTTATTATATACATTTAAGATAGTAACAAGATGTTTTCATATACATAGTGAAATAGTTACTACAGTCAAGCAAATTATTGTATCCATCATTTCACACAGTTACCCCTTATTTTGTGTATGTCATAACAGCACTAAAAATCTACTCTCTTGGCAAAAAATCTCAAATATAGTCCCAGGTAGTACTATCATTCTCATGCTACACATTAGATCTCTAGACTTGTTCATCCTACATATCTAGGTCACATTCTATTTTTTTTTAAATATAGAATTTGTAAACAGTCACAATAAAGCGTGCAAACTACTATAAACATGGTTCAAACAAAACGTTATAGGTACTCAAAGCAATACTTCTAGAGAGGCACTGAAAGACTGGGACATAGCTTGAACTAGATGAATGGGGTTATACATAACTTCCTTTTCAACTACATAATCCCTGAAGAGGATTATTATGAAAGTCAAAGTACAGTATATCTGTATTTCAAAAGGTGGCAGGCAATTGTTCCCAGGTTACCATCTCCCACCTCTTCAAAATAAACTCCAACTTTAGCAAGTTCATCCATGAAAACTATGGTTGTAACTCTATTACCATCAATTCAGCAAGGGGCTGAATATATATATTTTTATTTTATGTATCTTTATATATATTTTTTCATTTACATATTTTTAAATGCTATAAAACATTTGAATACTATAAAATATAGTTTCTAGAGAAGTAAAAAGTAAACACATTAATACATATTCTTACCACTACAAGCATCTTATTTACTTCCAGTTATTTTTTCATAAGCATATAACATAAGCATAAGGTATCTCTAATTTATATATCCTTTTCTATTACCTTTTTTATGAAAAAGAAAACTTAAATACAAAATGTTAAATACCTTATGCAAGCACATTCAACCAGCAAGTTAACAGAGTTCAACTTTGAATTCAGGAGGCCTGGCTTGAGAGCCATGCTCTTAACCCATTCCCCTATACCGCCTCTTGATGATTTAAAAAAAAAAAAAAAAAAAAAAGAGCCTAGATAGGGAGATGTTGGTAGACCCAAGCTCAGACTGACATTACTGGAATGTCTGTAACTAAGCGAGGTGAGACTTAATCAATGATATTATACTTTTCCTGGTGGAAGAAGGGGAGGCTCTCTGAGTTTTTTCATATGCCATTCCTTAGTCATTCATCAGTATCTATTCAGTACCTATACATAGCCACTGCTAGAGACTCAGAAATGTAGTCCCCAGGGCCGTGTCCAGTACCATTTTTGTGCCATGAACCCCTTTGGCAATCTAGGAAGCCTGCAGAGTCTTTCTTAGAATAATGTTTTTAAAGATACAAAACAAATTGCATAACATTACAAAGGAAGCAAATTATATTGAAAACTATTATCAAAATATTCTGATTACTTGGGAACACAATGTTTACTTGATTTTTTTTAAGAAAAAGAAAAAAATACTCTGAAAAGCAAATGTATGATATAGTAATATATATCCTTTAAGATCTAGAAATTTGGTGGAAGATATCACAACAGCTGAGGCTGGAAAGGTGATAAAATGTACCAACTGAAAATATTTCTTAAACATGTTTATAGACATTATCAATACTAAGACCACCACATGACAAAAGTCAGATGATCTCAAAAGAAGGCTCTAAATACCCCTAATCCAGAGGTTTAATCAGTCCTGATTCTCTTGACCTCATCAGCATACTTGGGCCCCCAAAATCCCTCAACCTTGGCTCCTAAAACTTCACACTTATCTGCATCTCCTCCTACCTTCCCCACAACTCTTTCTCTGCTCCTTCTGCAGTTCTTCCAATTTCTGAATACAGATATATCCAAAGGATTCTTACCAGGGCATGCATCACAGAACCAGTATCTTGTGGAATACTGCTTGGTAAATTCTTGACTGGCTCTCCTGGTCTTCATCTTCCACTATCACACACCACAGTTAGTCTTATGTGATGTTCCCTCACTCTTGTCTACCCACAGAAGCCCTGCCCTTGCTCCAAGAAAGGACTCCCTCAGCCCCCAAATAACGGAACAGATTCCCGCCAAACAGAGCCCTGTCTTTTTCCAAAGGCTTGTTCTGCCCATTGTCCACATACACACAGCTGCTCTGAAGAATGTGAGTTTCCCAGTGAGCATGTCCCACCAACTCCACATCCCAAATGTCAACTGGGTCAAAACTACAGTTATAAATCTCAAATCCTAAATTCCCTGTTCAACTGGCTACATTATTCAAACCAGAAATTTCTAAGATATAGTGTACAAAGAATATCAGCAGTATTTTTTCCCACATACCTTTTCCATTTCTTATTCTGGTGAGTTGAAGTTAACAAAGAAATTACAAAGATTCCCTTTAGTCTTAGGAAAAGGGCAACAAGAGAATGCCCAGAGTGAGGCACTCCATTAATCCTTTCCCTGAACCCATCTGCCCTAACAGATAATGAACTTCTTGAGGACAAAAGCAATGTTGAATACATTTGTATATCCCACAGGGCCGCCTTGGCTACATCATACATAACAGGAGCTCAATAAATGTTGAATGAGGAACAGAGCAACAAATTAAATATACTACAGATGTGCCAGAAGCTGCCTCTTTAGCGAAAGATAAAAATTCCACCTTCCCAAACAATTAAAATGAAGACTGAAAACATCATGACAAACGATGACATATGGGATACTTTACATTTTAAAAAAAGGAACTAAAATTCTAAACCCTCAAACCCCAAACCTCGACTCAGTCACCCACATTGCCACATTTGAAATTTCTGACACAGCAAAGTGGCAAGTGATGGTGAAGACTGAATACCAACCCACTGACGATCCAAGCTCAAGCTGCTTATGCCCGTGCTTCTCACTTTTAATATGATCTAGGGAGATTCACGCCACATACTCAGGCCTCACTTTCTTCATCTCTAAAACGCAAACAGTTCCATTAAAGCCACAAACAAAAAAAGAGTAAAAATAATGGAAAAGCCTTCTTTTTTTGTACAACAACTTTTTATTAATGAAGAAATCAACACACGAATCAGAGGGTTCATGCAAGGCACAGGAGTGTGTGTGTGTTTGGCCATGAATACGTTTGATATTTTAGACATTTAACTTTTTCTTTATATGGTAGGAAATGCATGCCAGAGGAAAAAACCACCATTAATTTATTTAAAAAGCAAACTACTTTGTTTCTACAACTCGCATCCCCTAAAACGTTCAAAATCTGAAATAATAGGGGACAAACATCCTCTTAAAGGTTCCCGCAGTTACGTGGAGGCTTATTTGAGGAAAGGGAACACATCTAGAGAGGCTCAGGATGTCTAAAAGTAGGCTGCCTAACTTTTTTTTTATTATTATAGAACAGAGCAAACATGGAAATATTATTGCTCCAAAATATGCTAGAATTTCCAGTTCTCTCAAAGATATTAGAAGCCTGAACTCTAAGTGTTGGTTTCACAGCAGTAGAGAGTGGATGTGTGAGTTATGGTTTTATTTCTAAGTGACCAATTTCTGCAAACTGAAGTTCAAGGAAAGATACTGGAAGTCATCCAAAATCAATCTTCTTTCAATTTCATCATTTTAGGACAAGCAGTAGATCCTCACACTGCGTGGAACAAAATCAATAAAAGCCAAGAACAACAGGCATTGCTCTTTCAAGATCATTTCATCAGGATTTAGCAGAGGCAAACACAATGAGGTATCTGTAAGCTGCTAGAATAACAACATTTTCACTTTGTTATTCACTGTGCTCTAATCTGAACCCCATCTTCCTGTTCCAAATGCCATTTCAATATTTGAAATCGCTATAGCTGGTAAAAATCACAAACACATCTGTGAGTTTCTATCCGCTTAAATTAGAAGAGAGTGTGACCTTTCTCTATCTTGGGTTCAGATATTTTGCATTAATATACTGTTTTCTTTTTGCATATATTCTTTTTATCCATGTGAGGCTCAATGACCCTTGCCTAGAAATATCAACTAACGGTTTTGTTTTCAACATTGGAATGTTTAGATTAGACAGTCAGTGCACAGGGAAAATGAATACAGCCCCCACCTGCTGCAATTCATGCTAACTTCTGCCATACCACTCCTGCGCTAAATGCACCAGTGTGCCTCAGGAATAGCTCTGGGCCTTGGGGAGGCACTTCTTCTAAACATATCGAGTTACTCTTCCTCATCATGGCATCCTGGAGGATCAGTCTGCAGGGGAGGACAAAGTCACTAAGTAGGCGCATGAGAAAGGAATGTATTTAATATTCAGAAAATAACATTCTGCTTATGAGGCTGCTTTTTTAAAACAAAAAAAAAGTTTTAATTCTTCTATCGATACGTAATTTTATTTTATATTTATGGGGTACATGTGAGTATTTGTTATATGCATAGAATGTGTGATGATTAAGTCACAGTATTTAGAGTATCCATCACCTTGAGTATTTGTCATTGCTATGTGTTGGGAACATTTCAAGTCTTCTCTTCTAGCTATTTTGAAATATACAATATATTGTTGCTAACAAAAGTCATACTAGTCTGCCATCCAACATTAGAACTTATTTCCTCTATCTAACTGTATGTTTGTACACATTCACCATCTTTCTTCATTTCCATCTCACACCCTCACCCCATTTCCAGCCAATGGCAACTATCATTCTATTCTCCATCTCCATGAGATCAAGTTGCTTAGCTCCCAAGTTTGAGTGAGAATATGCAGTATTTGTCTTTCTTTACCAGGGTTATTTCAGATTTAATGACCTCCAGTTCCAACCATGTTGCCACAAATGACATGATTTCATTCTTTTTTATGATCGAAGAGTATTCCATTGTGTATATATACCACATTTTCTTTATATATTCATTTGCTAATGGAAACTAAGGTTGATTTCATTTATTTGCTATCATGAATAGTGCTAAGATAAACATGTAAGTGCAGATATCCCTTTGATTATACTGACTTTTGTCCTTTGGATAAGATAACCATTAGTAGGATTGCTAGACTGTATGATAGTCCTATTTTCAGTTTTTTGAGAAATCCCCACCCTGTTTTCCATAGTGACTGTATTAATTTACATTCCCATCAACTGTGAACAAGAGTTCCCTTTTCTCCACGTCCTTGCCAGCATGTGTTATTTTTTGCCTTTTTTAGTGATAGCCATTCTAACTTGGGTAAGATGATATCTCATTGTGGTGTTGATTTGCATTTCCCTGACAATTAGTGATGCTGAGCAGTTTTTCATATACCTGTTGGCCATTTGTATGTCTTCTTTCTAGAATTGTCTATTCATGTCCCTTGTCTACTTTTTAATGGGATTATTTGGTTTAGTATTGTTGAGTTGTTTGCATTCCCTGTATATTCTGGATATTAGTCCCTTGTCAGGTGAACAGTTTGCAAATATGTCATTCCATTCAAAAGGTTGTCTCTTTACTCTGTTGACTGTTTCCTTTGCTGTGCAGAAGCTTTTTAGTTTAATATAGTCCCATTTGTCCATTTTTGTTTTAGTTATCTATAGTTCTGAGGTCTCAGTCATAAAATTTTTGCCTAGACCAACGTTCTGAAGCTGTTACCTGGAGGTTTATCACAAATAAACTTTATTATTTTGAGGTATGCTCCTTCAATGACAAATTTATTGAGAGTTTTTATCATGAAAGGATGTAGAATTTTATCAAGTCCTTTTTCTGCATCTATTGAGATGATCATATGGTTTTTGTCCTTCACTCTGTTGATGTGATGTATCACACTGATTTGTGTATGGTAAACCACCTTTACACACCTGATATAAATCCCACTTGATCATGATGCATTATCTTTTGGCGGTGCACTTGGATTCAGTTTGGTAGTATTTTGTGGAGGATTTTTGCATCTATGTTCACCAGGGATATTGGCCTATAATTTTCTCTTTTTTTGTTGCATCTTTGTCTAGTTTTGGTAACAGGGTAATGCTGATATTGTAGATGAAGTTAGGGAGAATTCCTCGTCTTTGTTTTTTTGTAATAATTTAGTTCTTCTTCATACAATCTGGTAGAATTCAGCTATAGATATAGATATCCAGACCTGGGCTTTGCTTTGCCAAGAGATTGTTACCTATTCAATCTCACTACTCCTAATTGTTCTGCTCAGGTTTACTATTTCTTCCTGATTCGATCTAGGTAGGTTGTGTATCCAGGAATGTATCCATTTCCTATAGGTTTTCCACTTTGTCAGCATATAATTTTTCATAATGGTCTCTGATGATCTCTTGTATTTCTATGATACAGCTGTAATGTCTCCTTTCTCATTTCTGATTTTATTTGGATTTTCTCTCCTTTTGTTCTTTTTTGTTTAGTCTAGCTAGTAGTTTACCAATTTTGTTTATCTTTTCAAAGAACCAACCTTTTATTTCATTGATCCTTTGTATTGTTATTTTAGTTAGTCTCTATTTCATTTAGTTTTGGTCTGATCTTTATTATTTCTTTCCTTTTGCTAATTTTGGGTTTGGTTGATTCTTACTTTTCTAGTTCCTTTATATCGTTAGATTGTTTATTTGAAATCTTTCTACTTTTCTGATGTAGAAATTTATTGCTATAAATTTGTCTCTTAGTACTGCTGTTGCTGTCTTCCACAGGTTTTGGTATGCTGTGTTTCCATTTAAATTTGTTTCAAGAAATATTTTGGGCCAGGCATGGTGGTTCACGCCTGTAATCCTAGCTCTCTGGGAGGCCGAGGCGGGTGGATCGCTCAAGGTCAGGAGTTCGAAACCAGCCTGAGCAAGAGCGAGACCCCATCTCTACCAAAAATAGAAAGAAATTAATTGGCCAACTACAAATATATAGAGAATTAGCCGCACATGGTGGCGCATGCCTGTAGTTCCAGCTACTCGGGAGGCTAAGGCAGGAGGATGGCTTGAGCCCAGGAGTTTGAGGTTGCTGTGAGCTCGGCTGATGCCATGGCACTCTAGCCCAGGCAACAGAGTGAGACTCTATCTCAAAAAAAAAAAAAAAAAAAAAGAAAAGAAAAGAAAAAAAGAAACATTTTGATTTTAATTTCTCCATTGAACCAAGGGTCATTCATGAGTTATGTTGTTTAATTTCCATGTATTTGTAGAGTTTCCAAAATTCCTCTTGGGATTGATTTCTAGTTTCATTTCATTGTAGTCTGAATTGATATGTTTATTGTTGAGATTTTTACTTCTCCCTCTTCCAAGCAAAATGATACCCATATCTCCACAAAGGTAGGCTCTCAACTATCACCCATTTCATAAGAATCTGAATCCCAGAAGCAGCACAAGCAAACAGAATGTGATATTAACTCAATATCCAACTCAATCTCACCACTGCCACAAATTTCAAGAGATTAAGCCACAATGGGAAACAACCTCATTGTTCCTACATGATGGAAAACCATTTCTGCCATTCATCCTACCTATGAAAAAAAATCATATGCATAGGAATAACATTCAAGATGAGCAAAAGTAATGAGATCAAAAGACATATAACGTGTGTTCCCTACTTCCTACAAATAGATTTTATAAAGCATTCCACATACACACACACATACAAACTCAAACATATAAAATCCATGGAACCCCTCACTTGATTAGCATTTAGCACAGGTTTTACTCACTTAGCTACTTCCTTGATACACTTCAAGCACTTTCTTTTCACAATCACAGAAAGTTGGGTAGCACAAATGTAAATGCTATATACCTCTACTCTTTCCTAATCAATGAGCCATACTAACCTTGCTTTCTGAGTTTTGATGACTTCAACTCCAAGGAACAAGGTGCCATGACAGTGAGGCGCAGTTAGTAGAAGAGCAGGGGGAAGCAGCACGTGACTGCTGCTGCCCCAGCCTACTGCCCAGGCCCTGGCCCAACAGATACTCTGGCAGTCCAGCCACCAGTTCTCACAAAATCATAAGGTGCAGGTTCCCACCACATCTCCGGGACTCCAGGTTATGGCAAGGATTATAGCTCGTCATTGCTTAAAACTCAACTTGCTTTTTCTGGTCAAAAATAGTAAAATTGAATCCTAAATCTCAATTTTAAAACTTAAAATTGAAAGAGCCATCTGAAAGCATCTAACCCAGTATTTTCAAACTGAAAGTGATGGTTTTGAGTCATGAAATCAACTTAGTGAATGATATTTTTAAAAAATAAAGAATATAGTATTGTAAAGACATATTTAGTAAAACTTTTATTTTTGATACATATGTGTGTGTTGTGGAATGCTTTATAAAATCTATTTCTTACTGTAGGTTGCAGTCCAAAGAAAAAGAGGTTTGAAAACACTGATGTAATCCAATACCCTTATTTGACAGATAATAAAATTGAACCCCAAAGTGGTTAAAAGACTTCCCCCCAATTATACAACTTGTTATTGACAAGGACTCAAACCTACTCATTCTTTAAGATGTAAGATGTCTTTAAAAAAACAAACAAACCCCTTGTTTGTAATTCTTTTTTGAATAGTCCCACTAAACATAATCACTTATAAAACACAGAAGGCAAATTTTTCAGACAATTGAGTATAAAAAATTTTTTAAATTTCTCCAAATCACTTAACAAATTTGGGCTCTAAGGGTAAAATCAGACAGTGGAGTTAGAAACCAGACACTGTGGCTTTTAATCAATATAAGATTAGATACCTTTAACATACTTCAGCATAATGTTAGGCACTGAAATGCTAGTATCTTCCTTAATCATACCTCTGTTACTTTTCCATTCA